ATATAGAAGGCATCTGACCAGAAGGCAATGTCGAGAGTAGATGTAATCAGAGGGCTTTAGGGGGGTTCAGATAACCCCCGGTTTAGGGGGAACCAAAGGAGCCCGCTTTACCCGGGGGCTTTAGCCCCTAGCATAGCAACCATAGCAACCATATCAACAATGATAGTTAAAGAGAAGGGCTTTAAGCCGTATTTAATGATGGCATTGTAAATCAAGGAGTTGCCGAGCCACTGCCCTGCTTGTAGATTAAAGTACACCGGTACAAATTACTTGAACTGCCTACGTAGCGCTTTAACTAGAAGTCCATATATAGACCCCTGAACGGGCCTTAGTTAACTACATAATCAAAGCAATAGCTTCAGAAACATTATGCTTGGTAGTTGGTAGTTGGTAGCATACCAAGGCCCCCCCCGCAAGTACCAACCCGCAGGGGCTTTACCCCCTACCCGCAACACATTCGTGTATAATTAAGCGTATTCAAAAGGAGATTCTGTTTACTTTCAACGGTAAAGTATGCCGTTTATCCTTCGCACCACTCTGATTAGTAGAACAATTCGTATGTAACCTGAATTGAATGAAAATTGTTCTATGTTATGCATTCTTAACAACCCTCTTGAGCAGTTCGAGATTATCAAGTTGCTAGGTATTGATGCCCCTCTATTACCCTTAATTGAATTACCCTTAACTAACCTTGGGTTATACCTCCTTATAGTCTTAGGGGTGGTTATATCAGGATTGGTTATTAGTTTCATTCCAGCACGGATAGGCCGTGATAACTCTTGGTTGGTTACATTGGAGTCTATATATGGCTTTCTAGTGAATTTGGTAGATTCCCAAGTAGCTATTGCTGGGCATATCTATATACCTGCAATTATTGCTTTATTTTCCTTTATTCTATTATGTAATCTATTGGGGCTAATCCCGTACTCGTATACCGTCACAGCTCAGTTTGCCTTAACCCTGGGGTTGAGTTTTACTGTTCTCTTAGGAGTCACCATCTTAGGTTTACAACGGCATGGAGTTCATTTCTTCTCTATTCTAGTACCAGCCGGTACACCTTTGGTGTTAGTGCCCCTTTTAGTTGTAATTGAGGCTATATCCTACCTGGCTCGTGCCATATCCTTAGGAGTCAGGCTCTCAGCTAACATGATATCGGGTCATGTGTTGCTTAAGATTATATCTACTTTCTCTTGGCAGTTTATTACAGGTTCTATCTTAGGGGTTATCCTTGGTTTTCTCCCTGTGCTCTTCTTAACTGCCTTATACGCCCTTGAACTAGGGGTTGCGATTCTTCAAGCTTATGTCTTTGTACTTCTCACGGCTTCTTACCTAAATGACGTACTCTCTCTCCATTAATATACCCCAAATTCCCCCTGCTTTACCTTTAATCTACTTTAGAAGTATCCTTACCTAGAAGTAACAAGAGGACTGGGTGTGCTGTTTAATGCAACATAGTTTACGAAGCTAAGTTGTAACTAGTTTTAGCTAAGGAAGTAATGCTTATCTTAAAGAACCGCTCTGAAAGGTAACCCAAGTAAAGCTATACCTAGGAAATTAAGGGGAAGTTCTAGCTAAGACCTAAACTAACCCTATCAAACTTCTATTATCCTTAAGGATAGTAGAACTTATGCAGAAATAAGCTATATTAAAGCCAAGGTAGTAAGCCAAAGCCTGTCTTGTTGTGACTTAAGGCTCTCTTGAGCAACCCTACCTTGAAGGCAAGTGTAATAAACTATCCCAAATAGGTACACAAGAAGTGGGCCTAAAGGGCTAGGGGGCCCCCTAATCAATATCCATCAAGCCCGGGCTTGATGGCTTACTGTGTAAGGTGACATTACTAGAAGGACTCTTCTTACCGCTCCTGGTTTTCTTACTGAAAACCGTGTTACTCTTGGGAACTATTTTCCTTGTTGGCCTCTTGTTTGGTTCGGTTAGAGTCTCGGGGAGAATTTTTGAGAAGAAGTTAGTGAAGAAGAAGAACCTTTAGTGGCATAGTTAAGAGCGCCTATGCCTAATTCGTACACAAAGGCAACAGTTAGAATCAGAGAAAAGACTATAAATACCCAATAACCTAATAGTGAGAGGTGGCACAGAGACATAGCAAAAGGATAAACAAAGAGGATTTCAAGGTCAAAGGTTAAGAAAAGAATAGCAACAAGAAAGAAACTTACCGAGAATTTTTGGCGACTGGTTCCCACTGGCGCGAACCCGCACTCATAAGGGGATACTTTGGCTGGATCTCCCTTCTTAACACCTACCCTGTTATTAATCACCATTAAGGTAGCGGTGAAAAGGGGGACAAAGCAGAAGTACATAATCAAATTACTCATTACCAAAAGTAAAAGGAAAGAGCAATAAGATGCAGAGAGTTTAATGAGGGATAAGGATAAGCTAGGAACAGAATGATAATAAGGCTCAAGGTAGCAATCACCATGGAATGAAGAGGCTTAGGGTCCGACTCCGACAATACGGCCCGCCTAAGAATCATTTCCGTAGAACGGCTGATCTCGAAATGAATCGAATCGAAAAATAAGACTCGAATTACTCTAAGATAAAACCCAGTAGTTATGACACTGACCAGAATCGCTATAAACACTAAGAAGTAATACCCAGAGTCCAACGCTGTCGTAAGCACTAGCAGCTTACCAAAAAATCCTATTAAAGGAGGAATACCAGCCATGGAGAACAGGCAGATTGCAAAGCTGAGCGCTAAGACAGGGTTCGAGTGAAAACAACTGATTCGGTTATATTCAGATGATATCAGCAAGGGTTTGGTAGTGGGTGTCCTCATCACACTCAATCCCTCTAGCCAATAGGATTCTTCGGAAGAATCCTTCTCCGGTTTTGGTTGCTCAAGGAATACCGTTGAATCACCCCAGGTCTCCAATACCTGATTAGAATACACTAGCAGGACGAAGAATAGGTTGGAGCTGGTAACCACGTACTGAAAAAGGTAGAAGAGATAGGCCTCCAGACCCTGGGGAGTAACCAACCCTAGAGCAAGTAGCAAGAACCCCAAGTGGCTTATCGTACTATAAGCAACCATCCGCTTAATACGGTATTGAGCTACCCCGAGGAGAGCTCCTAATACAAGGGATAGAAGAGCAGATCCAAGGAGAATGAACCCCCATACCGAAAAGTCGGTAACCACTATCCCCCCTATTTGGCTTAAGCCCTGGTAGAGGGCTAGGAAGGCTAGTAAGGCAACCTTAGGCATAATTGCTAGCCAAGAAGTGACCAAGGTTGGTACTCCGTCATAGACATCAGGGGCCCAGTAATGAAAGGGAGCTGCAGGAAGTTTAATAAGAACCGCAAGACCTATAAAGAAAACAGGTATAAGGAACCCGCTATATCCTACTCCCAAAGAGGAGACCAGATATACGCCTTCTAAACTAGTGAGGCCAGATAAGGCATAGAGTAGGCTACTCCCAAGGAGGAACAAGCAACTGGAGAGGGCTCCAATTAGGAAGTATTTCAGGGCGGCAGAAGTGGCTGGTTCAGAGTCACGGTACAAGCAGGCGAGGATGTAAAGAGGGAGGCTTTGAAGCTCAATAGACAAGTAAACGGTAACCAAATCAGAACTAGTTACAAGGCAACTCATACCAAGAGTACTGATCAGTAAAATAAGAGGGATAAGCTTAGAAAGAGGGTCATGGGTAATCTCTTCTCTTGTTGAGGACCAGTAATACAAGGATTTCATCGGAAGGATACCGGTAGCAAGTACCAATAATAAGGAGCCGGAGGCCAGGATAAAGCAATCAAATGCTTGTGATATAACAGAGACCAGGCAGACTCCACCATAGATTCCTACCCCAACACCTAAAGGCTCTAATAACAAAGTGTTAAAGGCCAATAGCGAGGATAAGAGTAAAACTAAGATGGCTACTCTATTGATTACTATAGAGGAGAAGTAGAATACGGAAGAGAAAGGCAAAGCAGCCGTTAACAATAAGATGGATAGGATAACCATTACTCTTCACCTAACATATACTTAACATTGAAAGGGAAATGCCATCTACTACCTTTAAGACGCGCTAAAGGGGATGATTAAGGGGGGAACTTTGACTTAGGGGTATCTAAAGATAGAAGTTATCAAGGGATTAGAATCTGAGAAAGAAGGTATTGACGATAGGAGATGCAATCAGAGGGCTGGGTTAACCCGGGGGCTTTACCCCCAAAGGATACACGGCATTGTCTACCGTTGGCATGGTTGGTATGGTTGGTATGGTTGGTATGGTAGCAAGCATACCAAGCCCAAGAGGTGAGGCACGACCATTTAGAGCAGCGCCAATTTGTTGCTATGCAAAGGAGCAAGCATGCCTTACTCTCTTCGCTCTTCTTTTTCCCCATTTGAGCTACGGTCATCTTACACGGGTTTAAGTTGAACGTTTGGTTCCCATGCTAGCAAGCGGAGACCCGACTACTGTACAATATTGTACTCAGGCCGAAGAGTATCAATCAAATATTGCTCCAATGCTAAAATTGCCCCTTTTTATCAGGTCATGCTAGCAACAGAATATCACAATCAAAGAGAAGGAGTTAAGCCCATGTTTCAGAATATCGAATGAGGGAAGTGTCTTGTACAGATGCAACTTTTAGACTGAAGTGCTTCGAAAGGCGAAAGTATAAGTACTCGAGCTTCCTGCATACCGCTTGCCATTAGCAGAATTGGTAATTCTGTATAGCCCTTGGTAGCATGCACGGCCCTTAACGGCCTTGGGGGGCCGTAAGGCCACCTTTAGCCCCTAGCATGCATTCATTAATGAATAGTATCATATACTAAGAGGTTCACTAAGACCTTTATTTAACCTCTTAGTATCACTTGTAGCTTTAGAAGAACCAAAACGAAGTTGCCCTCGTGGAGATGAGGTAATAGAAGAGCAACCACCCGAAAAAAACCCAAAAAAGATGGGAAGAGAGGAAGAACCCGCGGCCGGCCCCAGGGAAGGGTAGAAGTAGCATAGGCTCTAATTGGCACACCTGCAAAGGCATTAACAACAGTAGAATCAAGTAATTCCCGGATGAAGCGCTTAACCCAAGAGAGGACTGATAATGCCCAAAGGTTAACCAATCAAACTCTTTTTAACCCCAAAGAATAACAAGAGTATCAATGAAGACCAGAAGGAAATCGGCTCGAGGTGCTGGATGACACATTTATGTAACCCAAAGGGTAAAGATTAAGGTAAACATGAAACGACCTAAGAAGGTATCCAAGCTAGTCGGCCTATAATCAAACTTAGAAGGTTCATGAATACAAGAAGTAATGACCCACATAGGGTCTAAACCTAGTCAAGGAAGCATGGCAAAGATTAAGAAGAAAGTAGGAAAAGCATAGAACTAATTCATTCAATTTAGGTTACATATGAATCCAAACAAGTAGCCAATGCTACGTCCTTATCTGGTAGTTCGTCCTTTGCAAAGAGGGTATCAGCCACTATCTTCTTTGATTCAAACTCTCAACTCACTCTACCCATCCTATCACTCTTACTCATCGTTACACTTGCTTACTTTCTGCCATCCTTAAGTGTTCACTAGGCTTAAGAATAGAAAAGGAAGTAGGAGGGAAGGAAACTTCAAAAGAACCGTATGGAGGTACTACCTGGTGAAGACCTGAAATGTGAACCAGAGGAATAGGGTATCGACGATAGGAGAGAGAACTACAGGGGATAAACGCCATTGTTTTGCTTGGTAGTTGCGGGTTGGGGGGGGGGCCTTGCTATGCTAGTTGCTACCCTACAACGGCAAATCATGCCGTTGATCCTTCGGGGGAATCCTACGGATCCCCCTCTGAATCAAGTGTATGGCAGGGTGAGCGGGATTTGAACCCACATCTTAGAGTTTGGAGCTCTACATTCTACCGTATTTAACTATCCCCCTATTCTGATTTACTCTCTCCCCCCCTCTCTGCCTTCTTGGCTAAGTAGTTACCGATAACCACTATCTTCCCTTAATCTTACCCTATATTCACCAACTTCCTCTTATTCCTTATCACTTACCTGGTTATTATCTGATATTTGGAATAGTCCAAGCTGACAGGGTAGGTAAGAGTCTTCAGGAGAGGTTATACTTAAGTGAACGGTTAAAATAAGACTTGCTAAAGAGTCAAGGGGGGAATTTGTAGTTATAGGGGGGCTCCTTGGAGCCCCCCCAAATTAGAAGGTCTCAAGGGATTAGATTCTGTGGAAAGAAG